ATATATATATATATATTGGTTGCCAACGTTTACCAGCTTTTCATGAGCCTTTCTCTGGCGTTTTCACTTTCTCCGTTCCCATCTGTTCCGTGTCAGCTTCTTTCAAAATATTGTACACTTCCGCCCTTTCAAGCACTAAGAGGTCTATTCCCACTAAGACCAACACTGCTCTCTGCGATATACTTGAGGTGACGCCTATTGATTATATTGATATTGATATTATCTGCTGAGGTGACTCCTATTGCTCTGGCCCTCTGAACGGAAGACATTCTCATCTCCATTCTCTTCCCTAGCCTGTTGGCCCATACAAGTGCCGCTTAAACCTTTTTGGCGTGGGCGTTAGAAAAAAGTCTTTAAGTGCTTCGGTCCTCCTACAATCGTCATCAGTCGCGAGATTCCGCTTGCAATTCCTGCCGCGTTTTGTGCCATATTTTTGGCGTGTAGTTGAAAGATGAGTTTCGAGTCTATCTCTACTTCCAGGTACTTGAGTTTGGTCTTTCAAGTGATTTCAGTGTCTACAACAATGATCCTAGGTTTGCGTAGATCCTCTTATCTGTGACGAGCAAAGCTTCTGTTTTTTCTGTTGCCGTCTTTTGTCCAACCATCTCTTGGATCTCTCTAGGCTGTCGTTTACTAGTCTGACGTTACTCTACAGTGTCTACCCGTTTGACAATGCATCATCTGCGAAGCCTAATAGCAGCGTTTCATTACCTTTTTCTTCTCCAACATCTTGTCTTTAGAGTATTATATTCGTTTAGGTAATTGTCAACCATTCTCAGAAGGTAATTTGGCGTGTTTTTCTATCTTTTTTAAAACCTTTTTTCACGAGGGGAACTGTGCAAATCTTCAACAAGGCGAAGACAAGCCCACACTCCTCAATAGTGTGAGATTATTACCCACTAAAACTACAAACTCTTTATGTTCCTGGCATCATCCACCCTGGAACCGCAATAAAGCAACTATAGTACTTGGAGGTATATATATATATATATATATATATATATATATATATATATATATATATATATATATATAGAGAGAGAGAGAGAGAGAGAGAGAGAGAGATACATAGATATATTTTGCTGTCCACTTCTCCTCGTTACATATTATTAGTGCCACCATGTTTTCTTGTGTGACCTCATACCTGACCACCGATACCATACGATGCTATTCCATGGCTGCAGTAGAAGCATACTGCGTCGTCTGTTATTCTAAAAAACTTAAAACATCCATGCTCTGTGAACGGTATGTCACGGACAAATGTTTGCAGCTTATCCATTTGGATATTGTAACGTCGTGCCAATGGGCCTGATGGACCACGCATGTCGGAAGGCCACTAGGGCCGGAGCGACACAAGTGGTGTTGCGAGCGTATAAAACGTATAGAGCGTAAGCTCTGCGGCGCGTATAAATTGGTTACAACGTCGTGAGTGGCCCGTATCAGAAAACACCATTGGTAGTAAGGCGAACGCATAGTGGTTTTATGTAAGAGCATAATCCAAGCAGATATTTTTGGTAATGATATAAAGTTATTATGGTACAATGGTATTCTATTATGAACGATTATTGCGAGAACTGGTGCTATGAAAATTATATTTTGTATTCAATTGTTATTCTTCGTCAATTTATTGACATATATTTGAATTGTAAAATTGAAATTATGCCAAGGGAAAGAACAGCATAGTATATAATTATTTTTTATAATTTTTAGAAAGTTCGCTATACAGTGGCTTTGTCAATTTTGTATTTGGCGCCCTCTGCGCCGTAGTATTCTGTATTGATTTCTTGATATTTCGAGCTATTCCAAAATTTGGAAGCTCTTTAATTTGTATTGTACGATTTATTCGCAAAATTGTAATTCTGTATAATTGTTGGATTTTGTAAAACGGCGAAAGTGCCGTCCAGATCCGCTCATTTCATTAAGATTTGGGTAGGAAATTGTATTCGGGGATTAAATTGTTATTGATATTTGTATTTCTCCTTGCCCCGTGTACCTGTGTGCTGAATAAATTGTAATTTTGTATTGAAAGTTTGATCACTTTATGTAAGAGCAGCTTTCGATGGGCTTCGCCATCATGCCATGCAGTTGTTGATACCAAGAACGAAAAAACAAACATTAAAACGTGAATATTCTTTGAATTAACAACAAGATTATGATTAAGATTACAAAATAATTTACAAATTTTTTTGGAAATATATTTAAAACATGTTAGAACTGGGAGAAAGAAAAAGTGGGGGGGGGTTAAGCCATTAATAACTAAAGAAAAGACGAATGAATAATAGAAATAGGACAGCGTTACATTTTTTTTTTAAAACTGAAAAACATAGGAGATGCTAAGTTGAGACCGTTTCCTTACCTTGCGGATGAAAGCCAAACGACTCGCTGGGAGTCGGGCGACGCCAGAGGCAGCTAATGATCACGACTACACGGCCGTGGGTGGAGGAGGGCAATAGCCTGGGTGCGATGCCTTGTCCAATGTGCCGCCCCGGCGGGTGCGGTGCTGAGAGTGGTGTCTATAGTAATTTTTAGTAAGGAGAAGGACTATGGTTTATTTTCATTAATAAGTTATTATTTAATGAAATATGTAGGTTTTCTTAAAGTTATCTGGTGTGTAGTGAATTTTCTATTTCCAGTATACGAATGTCTGTGTGTGGATTGAATGTATGACCTGTCCTGGAGTAAATGATTGGCAAAGTGAGATTTTAACAAGGTGTTTGTGTTTTTTTCAAGCCATGTGTTTCCTTGATTCTGGTATTAAAGTTCTGCTGTTTGACCAATATTTGGCTACGCAGTCGTGGCTAATTTAAGAGAATAGACGCGCTTTTTTCTAGATTTGTGTGTTTTTTTGGGGCGCACGCATTTTTTTGAGGGGAATTCTGTTATTTTGAATGAAACTTTTACATACTGCTTTGTGAATATTGTATGCGATTTTTTCTGAAAGGGGTGCAAAATAAGGTAGCAAGTGTACTTGTCCCGGTGTTTTTGTTATAGGAGAAGCTGTAGTGTACATTTTTTTGCTTTTGTTCGACTATTTTTGCGGGCGTAGTAATGTTGTTAATCAGTTTCTGTGGCTGTAACCGTTAGACATAGGAATGTGTTGTATGGTGTGCAGTTCTTCTTCCAGAAAATGAGATTTTGTCAGGGGGAGGCTTAGTAATCTGTTGTATTGTTGGAATGCGTCGTTTAATTATTTCATGAAAAATGCCAAAAATATCACACCACAACACCTATATTGATCACTTTTCCTTACAGCGGAAATTATGCCTTCGCAGTTGACCCATTGACCCGATAACTGTTTCCTAATTATTTTAGGTATCATTATTCTTCGGAAACGATCCACGCTCGCGCCGTTAAAGGTTCGGTGTTGGCCTGTGCTTGGCTAACGACGCGCGCTGCGGTCATTTCTTTGCCTTTTCAGACTGACGGCCTTGAAATGTATTTATTTAATTCATTTAAAGTAAAAATTCGCCACTGTTCACAAGTGGCGTGTTGTCATACAAAAATATTGACTCCGGTACTAGTCTGGAAAGCTAAGAGCTCAGAGCTGATAGAGCGGCACGACCCAGGCATTGAATGGGAAGGTTGTCATGAGGGTAAACTGGGTTCCGGCCGGATCCGGATATCGACCCATTGTCATTCATGTGTAGCGGCGGAAGGTGTAGATAAAAGCGAAAGCTCATGTTCTCACCACGGGTACTTGTGCTCCCCTATAGAACATGAGTTGTTGTGGAGTTGTGCCCACAGTAGGAATTCACTGTATGCTAAGAATTTCGGAATGTTCAAATACGACTAGTGAGTAAATTGGAGCCACAGTCGCAATAATTCATGGCATCCGTATCGTAAACCGGCGGTTTATTACGAACTTACCGGAAGCAGTTTGGGGTTGACAACACGGAGCGGACTTGCGACAAGGGATTTAACCTGACAGAGTCAGCTCAGCGGAAGATTGGGCGTTGAACCACGGGAGCTCCAGCCGGGGAACGCAACAAAGGTGTCGGGGCGGCCAACCTCTCCCTTTGCTCTGTGCTGGTAGGGCACGCTAGCAGGTACCAAAAGCAGCTTGGACGATATGGAATTCAGTGGTATGTTATTTCAAAGACATTTATGTAAACAGCATTCTCAAGAAACAAAAGTAACAGTGTAGTAGTGTGTAGTTGTTGTAGAAGTAGTAAGTGAATATTACAAAAACAAAGAGCATTGCGAGTTTAGGCCAAACGTATGCACATTCACTTTAGTTCAGTAAATGACCTTTTTAACCAGTCTAAATTAATTTTATTAATTACACCTGAAAAAAAAAACAGTCACAATGATATCCTGAATGTGCCAGTTAAGCTTCAATGCACAAATATGAAATAATCAGAGCATGCTTATCAGGGAGCGTAAGTCGGACATTTAACGCAGTAATATAAAAAATGCTGTGATAAATACATAAATGTCGAAAGTAAGAATTAAGTTGAGGGAATGCACTCACACCCGAAGTCTCTTTCTCTTTCTCGTTACTATCGCAATTTGGAAGGGCAAATAGTCATCACATTACTCACTATTGCACTTACAATCTAAACGTACATACTAACACGTACCTACAAACTTACATTAGACGCTACTTACAGTGGCTCTCGCAAATAAACGTACACTCTTAATGATACCATGAATTCTTCTCATTCTAATATTTCTAGAGAGAAACTACAAAGTAAAGTTTTGCAATACGACGCAACCATAAGTCACAGGAAGTTGCTTGTCGCAGGGTGCTGAGACATGTTCATATTTGCACAGTAGCCGCTGTGCCGCGTCTGCGGGTTCAGTTCTTCGGTGACAGTGGCAGTTTTAAGTGCTAACTAAAGCTACGTGGTCTCCAAGTGAGATTCGGACAGTTTTGCGGTATAAATTCGCGCGTGGTTTAAATGTAGACCAGTGCTTTGAAGAAATGACTTTTGCACTCAGATGTTTGTCCACAATGTACTACAATATTCAGGTGGCACATAGAATTCCGAAGAGGAAATTTTAGTTTGGAGGATGCTGAGAGAGCGGGCTGGCCATGAACATCAGTTTCGGAGGAAAACATTGCTGCTTTGAGGAACATGCTTGACGAAGACAGACGAGTGACCTACAAGCAGATAGAGGATACCTTAGACCTTATTGCACCAGCAATTCGTTCGATTCTGCATGATCATTTGCAAGTGCAGAAACTTTGTTGTCTCTGGGTGCCGCACACACTGACTGAAGAGCAGATGACACGACGAGACTTGGTGCCGGGAGATGCTAAAAAAGCTTTCAATCTCGGTATCTTAACAGCATCGTGACAGGTGACGAGACTTGGCTATACTATGACGTGCCTACCAAGGCTCAAAACAAAGTCTGGATTTTTGAAGATGAGAAGACACCCGTCACTGTCCAAAAATCTCGACCTGTAAAGAAGAAAACGATAGCTGTATTTTTCAAATCGAGTGGAATTGTGGAGCGTGTTGTTTTGAAGACACAGAAGACAGTCACAACTAAGTGGTACGCTGAAGTGCCTGCCAAAAGTCATTAAATTGTTGAAGAAGCTGCGGCCAAATTCAAGAATAGACACTTGGTTCCTCCATCATGAAACGCTCCAGCTCACCACGCCAAAGCCTGCAAGGAATATTTGACCACTACTGGACTGAAACTTCTTGAGCACCCTTCTTCCAGTCCAGAACTCGCTCCTAGTGACTTTGCACTGTTCCCATGTGTGAAAATGAAACTGAAAGGATTGCGGTTTTCCAGTGATGACCTTCGGGGGCTTGGGACGAGTGTGCCTTATTCCCTAGTGAAACTTGGCAGAACTGGTTTAGGGATTAGTTTCGGAGGATAGAAAGATGCATTGAATGTGGCGGAAATTACTTCGAAAAAATTAAATAAATAAAGCTGTATTGCAAAACTTTTCTAGTACCCTTTGTATGTAATTTTGATATTTAAAGTTTCCACGAAAAACTAGTGCAATTTGAAAGAAAACAATTTTTTTATTAAACGTAAAATTAAGTATTTTGTATGTTACCGACAATTAAGCATTGCACAGAAATGAACGTACACCATCGAAACTGCGCTTTGAAACGTACCCGTTGAAATACTTTCATATGCACAGAGTAGTAACAAACAGATTAGCTGATTGTCAGATTTCCGGAGATCAACATCCAAATGAAAATGGTCTTGAGAAGGGAAAAGATAGTGGAAGACCAAAGAAATATTGGGAATTTAGCGATGAGGGGAAGATCACTAGGTACTTCAACTATTCGGGGTATAGTTAACAATTTTAAGTACGATTGCAGGCTAATTAATAAAAGGGGTAGGGGCAGAAAACCAATAAAAGAAATATTGTCAATCACATCAGCACGAAACCTTGCCAAAGTGTCGTCAAAATTATTTCATGGGTAGTCAACAACAGGGAATACTGTGTCCATAGAAACCTTCCGAAGGGCCCTACGAGATGCAGGTTACATCGGAAGAATAGCTAAGAAGTAGCCTTGGATTAGTAAGGGTACGTTTATGTTGGAGCTGTGATAAACGATAAGAGCAGAGCTGCGAGCGAAGCAACGACTCGCCATGTAATCAAATGGAGGTGTTCATGTTGGCAGCGCGCTGCTCACGGGATCAGCGCTGCGATCAGCAATAAGAGCGACTATCACCCTTTGGTAGGTTTTCGGTGCTAGTATCGCTGGTACGCGCTGTTCACAGCTGTCACACTTCAGGTGTTGTATTTCTTGTAGTTGTGAGACATTCACCCAGATTGATTGGGATGATTTATTCTTATGCGCTTCTTCAATTGTTATATCCATGGCACCTTTACAATGTGGGTGCAGTCCAAGGAGGCATAATTTATAACAGAAATTGTAAAATGAATTAATTTTTTAAATGTTATTAAACAATTGTGGATGTTTTATCAGTGAATAAACTGAAGAACAATAGAAAAAAATGAGATGCCAGAAAAAGATTTTTTTTAAATAGAAAATTTATTGAAAGATAATTATTTACATTATTGGTTTTAATAGTACAAATAATATCACATTTCCTTGAACAACATTTGAATTACACCTTTGTAATTAAATCAAAATTGAAGTGATTGGGATCAGATAGTCCCATGCCACTATTTGGCAAAATATTGAGGTGTTACACCTCAATATATAGAACCCTCAGCCTTCTAGTTTATTACTGTTTAAGATTTAAAAAACGTTTTAAAATAAAACTAGCTTACCAATTACCTTTATCACTTCCCTGATGATCTGTTTTCTTTGAAATTCAGTTCAGTTTCTACTTAAGAATTCAAAATTATTAATTTACAATGGTTTTTGAAAAACACACAATCATTTCAGACATCTTCCATGTAAATCAAATTTCATAAAAAACTTAAAAAACAATTGGGAGAGTGTTATAATGTTCAGTCAACATTAACTGAAGACATGTAAAAAATTAATCTTTTGGAAATGATTTTGAACATTTGATGATTTTTTGTATGTGTAGTATTCAGACTTTATATTCAGTTAAATTAAACACCAACATATCAACACAATATAGGCTCTTTACAAGCACAATAGGAAACATATACTGAGAATTCAAATAAGATTGATAAAATTAACACCAGAAAATATATTTGTTCCTAAAAATATTAAAAAGTGAGAGAATCTTTCTTATTTTTAAAGATATAATAATTTGAACGTAGAATTTTAAATATTTCTTTTTATTTACTCCATTGATGTATATTGCCATAACATACAATTATTTATATCACAAGAAGAACAAAAATCTTACTTCAAATTAATTATTTTCTTTAAGTAAAAAATGATACTTCCCCTTCTAAATACTGAGAATGTACCAAACTGAAAACTGTGTAAAAAGATGAAATTTGACAAACTAATGGGACTATGAATAATAGAAATTGACGGAATAATAGAGCACTGCACATGTTTGAAATATTCTGTACATAGTCACTTTTTTGGCACAATTTCACACTTGCCTTCACTGTTTTTATTTTTCATATAATTTGGTAGAAAATATTATTAATTTTGGAGATCCACATATGCCTATAGAACACAATAGATTTCCTTTCCTCCATACAAGACCCAACTCCATACTTATTTCTTAAACACTCATTCACATACTTCCAAATTTCTTTTATCAAGAGGCTAGGCTTCTCCCTGTAAAAATAAAGGAAATGGACATTGAGTTTTTCAAATGTAATCAATCACTAACTACAGTACCAAATATTATGTATATAATAGATACAATTCTGCTTCTCTTTTATAGTCAATGTAAATATGCTTACAAGTAAGCCACTTTTAATTTTCAGTAATCACTAATTTGCATAATGTTAGATTATATAATAATTTTTGTATTGGTATAATAAATATTTGCAAAATTCACATTATCTAAAATAATTTTAAACAAAAAATTAAGTTCTGATTCAATTACTGATGTTTACAGCGATTATTTATTCTTATGACATGTTGGAAGCAAACCAACTTAATAATTATTGTAGACAAGGCAGCTTACCTCTATAATTATCGCCACAGTCAGGATATCACACTGAGCAATTCTTCCTTCTCTTCGTGAATATTTTTTACTTCTCTCACCTTCTACAATTCTCCTCCTTAGCACATTTATTGAAGGGCTTTCCATTAAATCACTACGCATTGATGAAAATGCCAAGCAAAATATAAAATAACAATGAATTCGCTTGCAGAACAAAAACTTCGAAATAAATACGCGCTAGCATCAACTCTCTCGCGGGCTCCACACAGCTGTTTGCCCCATGTTGCAGGGGGAATTGAGTGAGGTTGACCTCTCTTTATCAAGCATGCCAATATCCAGCGAAAAAAAGACCTATGGACATCGTAGGATGTAATGCTTCCATTGCGTAGGGGAATTAAGTTTAGGTTGATTCCTACTGCGGCTCAACTTAAATCTTAACCAAAAGTCCCTAAGCCAATTAAGGAAGTATGGTGGGTGATTTACATAAGGTTGGTATAGAAGGGACGAGGTAGTTGGGCCAAATGTCCTGTAGACGTCTCTGGTAGATTCGGAGCGGCGCTGCTTCGCGATGAACACATCAGCGCTGCGATTTCGCAACAACTCTCTCTTCGCTCTCATCGTTTATCGCCGCTCCAACATAAACGTACCCTACGGCAAAACAGACTGCAGTTCTCGAAATATTATAGAAATTATCTTTCGGAGTTCTGAGAAACTGTGATTTTTACATGAAAGTAAATTCAAGATATTTGGACCAGACGGGCAAGAACAAGGTGGAGGAAGGTTCACGAAGCCTTAGAAAATAAAACTTTGCCTCCTACTGCATAGCACGGTGGAGTCTCCGTTATGGTATGTGCAGTAGTCGCCCGCGCACTGTTAAAAGAGCCGCCACAAGAAGATAGGGCACTGGAAACGGGCGCATCGGTGCCGTCGCGCTTGACTGAACGCCACAGGGCACGTCACCGACCGTAAGCCAGGGCCAGCCAGCGAGCCTTTAGCCCCGACGGGCTATAAGACGGCGCTCAGCCAGCGGAGCAGCAGTTAGCGTCTTCCAGCAGTACAGTGAGCTACGGAGTGATAGTGTTGTTGGCTACGTGATCGGTTTTCCCCTAGACTTTGTTAATTGCGACTACTGCTGTGTAATTTGGACATCTACTTTGTTTATGGTAACACTGGCTATTCTCGGTTGATCTGATGGTACATTGGTGATCACGCTTGTTAATGGTTATTCTATACGTTTACATTATAATAAACTTGTTTTGGACATAACAGTATGAGGTTGCATGTCTGTCTCAGGTGTCGGGAATCTCCATTTATTGATTCCACAGTTGACAAATGAGGATATTTAGCAATTTTTGGAATGGTACCGACATACTACTTTCAACAAGTCAACGCTCCCATCCACACAGCGCATATTGAGAAGTATGGTTTCTATATAATGTACCAAAGCGCCTTGAAATGCCGTTACAATCACCCAAGCTCAATCCTAGAAAGAAAAGTAGTGGGAATCGGGAAAACTTGAGTAGAAGCATAAAGTTTCAAATAAAAAACGAGCTCAAGGGGGTCCTCGTTTAAGAATGGAAGAAAAATCGCGCCTTAATTTACAAGTCTGTAAGAACAATGCCAGGAAGACTGGAGGATATTATTTGTACTAGAGGTCGTTCCGCAAAATATTGTCTTATTATGTTTGGTTTTTCTCGAGAACAAATTGTCAATGAACATTCATGTTTGTGGCTTACGCATTGAGACGTTTTATATATTATTCTTTATTCACTTATTTCAAGATATATTTGTAATGTATGAGTGAAGAATGTTTGTATTAATACCAATTTTTGTTTTGTACCTTACAATTCTGCAATAAAAATCTTTTCTACGCCAATTTGGGTTTTCGTACATGGTGTACAGTCAATTTTGGGAACCACTG